GAATCCGACTTCCGCCTCTCGACTTCCCCTGTCTAGGCTTGGGCAACCTGGCAGTATCCCAGCCCTCGTGCTTCCTTCGGGTGGCATGACGGCTTGGGCACCGCAGGGTGCTACGGCCGAACACTTTCTTTCTCAAAGTGGTTAGCTGAACCAACCAAACATCTCAATAGTGTTAGCTTTTCTATCAGCATTTGAGAAATTGAAAAGCATATAATTAAAAGTAGCTGACTGACGCGGTGATCTTAACCTTGTGACACAACTTCCTTCTTTTATGATCGTTCTATTCTACGTGAACATGCTAACAGGATTCTCATCCACACTGCACACTTTCGATTCGTTCTGGTTCGTTGGCTCGTATAATAACCTTACTCAAAGCGATCTTAGCTCTGCATATTAAACAAAGTTTTAAACATGTTTATATGTTTTTATCTGAGCGCTCGCACTTACGATCTTACTGCAGAGCGCTTAGAACTCGAAGAAAGGTGCTGCCCGCCTTTTTCCCTTGTTCTTCCACGTGAAAGGAAGTCACTGAACGTCAAGGACAAACCCGACCCGCGAAGCCTTTGATAACGCCTCGATCCTACTTGTCGATGTGTGAATCCGTAAAAAAGCACAAAAGTGCACAGGGGAAAACCGTAGTAATCAGCGTGCCGGTACCGGTGCCCTCCTCAGAGCTACCCCACCGGCTGGAGTGAATAAGGAGATGGTAAACACTAATTCGCCAGTAATATGAAAAGCGCGACGCTTCAGATGGGTCTTAGCATCGGACATTACCAGTGCATGAAATGGGGTGAAACTTTTCGCCAGTCTATGCATACTGAATCTATGCGTCCTGGATCGCCTTCATGACCTTGACGATAACTCAAGGTCGCGTGTGTGCCGCGCGGGGTTCTTGTTCACTACGTGATTGCTTTATGGAATCAGGCTGGTTCCGATTGATATGTCGTTACTCGAAAACATCAAGAAGTGTGTAACCAAGCGTCATGGATTACAAAGACGTCTCACAAAAGTGCTTTTCAATGTCAAGATCAGCGAATCATTCAAATCTCCAAATGTCCCTTCGCAGCTTCGAGTATGTTAGAATCCTTTCTCCCTTATCTGCAGAATCTGCTTGTGTATATAGCACGGGATGGTGTAGCGGTCACAGATCTCTTCCGGCGTCCTGGAAATCCACAAGATATGAAGAAGATAATAGCCGATTTGGAGGCAGGAAGACCGATTGATTGGACGGACTATAATTTCTACACACTCGCGAATATTGCTAAGAGATACTTGCTTCACATAAACGGAGGTATCTTAGGTCCAGAGGCGGAAGAATTTCTCATGGATATGCTGGATTCACCGGATGACCAGGCAAGGATTGAAGCGATGCACAGGTGATGCTTTTGTGTTCATTAAAATGATTTGCATGGGTTCTTTATTCACTCCCGTCGCATTCATTCGACCTTACATTGGACTTGCAGGTTCGTACACTGGGAGCGGTTTGTTTTGTCACGTTTGCGTAGGCGTACATTAACGGAACCAACTAAGTAACAAGGCATCTATGTCCGTTGACTACATCCACTAGCGAAAGACACCCAAATGTACCAGTATAAATAGTCCGTTTGAACATCACGGGTCAGTGTATCGTAGACCAGCGGGGCCGAAGTCCCGAAGTGAGCAGCTAGATTATGCCGACCGAAGTGATGCTGAACGCCATACAGTAGTATATAACGTCGGGGTGGATAATTAAATGTGGAAAGATAAAGGGCAGTCTAAAAGTGGTAATCCTTCACAATGGAAGTTAATCGGTCTGCGAGTCGATACAAGAAGTATCGGTTAGTGGCTTACTCCCTGCACGATTGCGTTGTACACTTGGTTGTTTGAGTGCGCAGTACGTGTCGTATTCTGACCATCTCTTTAGTGTCCTCGTAAGTTCCAGCTGTAGGGCCGCCATTCCGCATTCAGGAAAGTCAATAAGAGTGGATCATCACAAACATCGTTTCACGTTCTCCTCCGAACCCATTTCCGTCGTTTTCAGCTTTCGTGCATATTCCGAAGTAATTGTGACGAACTGCTCTTGTTCGGTGACAGCAAACTGTTTTGGTGAAAGCCACAATTCCTATTCACCCCTGACGCCTGCTCATCGGTCATGCCAAGCACCCACGTTATGCAGAGCGTTCTTGTGATCCGTAGAAAGTAACCCAACGTTTTGTTGAATGTTGGCTTTGTAGGCCTACAGTCATCTACCTGAAGGCCTCACATGGGACGCCAGCAACTATGGGAAGAAGATTACATTCGCGTGATACTACAACTCGGAAGCTTGATTCATGAACTTATGAGCTACGGGTAACAGTTCTGGGTTATGTGTGCTAATGACTAGCCAAAAATAGTTGTAACCCTTCGGTATCCAGATGCACCGTATGTACGCCTGCCCAGGGTGAATCAGCGGACGAAGCTTTGTTGGATCTTCTCCGTATGGTACATTGATCTTGGCCTCTTCCAATTTCTTCTTCCTCCTCATCATCTACAGCATGACACCAGTGTCCAACACCGTCGTACACTCATAATTTATTCGAAGGCCTTGTTGTGAAGAAAAGATTAAAAGTAGTTAGGCAAGGGACATACAGATAGCTTACTACATTCATCCCAATTTTCCTACACCTTCAGATGCTTACTCAGACAATCTGGATAGAAACTTACTAGAACAGTGCAATTGACATCTATTAAGAACCATATCTTACAGCGTCTCCAAACAGGCGCAGTAGGTTTCACGTGGTCTCCATCCTGGAAGGCGGACAGCGTCAATATCACCAAAGTGTTTCGTAATCACTTTCATGCCCATCATCCAGATCAAGCGGTTCTGCCACACTGAATTGGGTACGGAAAGCAGCAATCTCTGCGGCAAACGATGGGTCGGCACACGCAATAAATGGCCTAACCGGTTTTACCCAAATTCCTAGCTCGCACAGACCACGGCAGTCGCTGAGCGTTCTCTGGTACGCATGGCGAAATCACCGAGTTTGATGAAGGTTACTAACCCACTCAAACAAGCTTTTGTCGTCATCATCGTCATAATCATAATAATCGCAAGCATGACATCAGTGTTCAACACTGGTGCTTCACTGCCGTAGTAAGTGTCATGGTTGTACGTGGGCTGGGATACTGTTAGGGCACTCACACTTAGGCAAGAGGACAATTGGGGTTCTCAACCAAAGCCTTTGGCTCAAAATCCTAGCCACAAGATAGTGGTGTTTGGCGCGAAATGCAAACGCATTACCATTCCTACGGAAGAAGTCGCCACATGTTCCAACCCCCAACCTGGAGGGCCATTGACCAACCTCTTATGAGAGACTATGAATGTCTCGGGATACTCCCCAGTATAGCTCAGTGGATCGCTGAGATGCGCAAACCGTCACACTACGGTAAGGACCAGTCTCTTCGTGACGGACAGTGTGGCAGTGTGACACTACAGAATCGATCACATGCTGCTATCCCCAGAGCTTGTCCGCAAGCGTTGGTGGTCAGAAATGGAGAATCGACGATATCCTCAGTAGAGAACGGCCCTATTTTTATCTCTTAAGGAAGGGTTGATTCGACCGAAGCTGTGTGCATATGTCATTTTAATGAAAGAGTTATGTTTCTGTATCACCGTGGATTTCGAAAATTTCCCAAATCACTTGGCCATAATTCGTAGAGTCATGTTGACTGTGTCGTCCATCCGGTTTTTCGCTGTATCGCGGTGGTGGAGATCGGTGCTGGCAAATAGTGTATTAGCGCCTTGAACTTCAACATTGAGGGTGATTGATAGCGTCGCGCACTGTGAAGGCCTATTGTAGTCATAGTTAATATTTTGAACTCTTCTTCCAGTTAGGAATTTAGTAACGTTATCACTCTTCATCGTCATCATAATTGAATCGTTCAGCTATAGCACCCTTCCATTGTCTAACTGTCATGCTACCCGAAGGAAACACAAGGGCTGGGATACTGCCAGGTTGCCCGAGCCTAGACAGGAGAAGTAGAGAGGCAGAGGTCGGGTTCGAACTACGGACCTTCCGGTCAGTAAATCCGCGCTCTAACCACTTGGGCCATCTCCCCCACTGTTATGATCTTTACTGATGTATCAATCAGACTTGCCGCTTACACCAGAATCGAGGAGACATTTCTGAGGAAGTTGTATTGGAAACAACAAATCGTCCTGTGTCATGCGAGATAGCTCAGTAATCAGAGCACGAATTTACTGGACGGAAGGTCCTTGGTCCGAACCCGACCTCTCCCTCTCAGCTTCTCTAGGCAGTATTCCAGCCCTCGTGCTTGCTTGTGGTGGAATGGCATTGAAAGGGTACTACAGCTGAACGATCATAAGACTACTGTTTTGGGTTCAGTTTTATTAGTATGACGGGCTTCCTTATGCGATCCATCCATGTGTATGTGAAAGTCTTTGGGATTTTGGTTCACTCATCGGCTTGGCAGATTCAGACTTTTGAGGTTATTCGGATGTGTTGAGAAGAATATCAAGTGGACAGCCACGGTGTCGTGTAACTGTCGATGCAAAAGGGTAAGGGCGTAGCTGACTGGTATGACGGATCTATATGGATAAATTTCTCAGCAAAGCGCATATTTATACATTGTGTCTACCTTTCTACACCGCAACGATAATGTTTTGCTAACACAGATTGACCGGGCATAAATATGTTATTTACAGCGCTGTGATGTCGGTTGAACTGCACTTCTATATTTGTGTTTCTACCGGTTGCCGAATGTGGAGCTCCATAGATGACTTCAATGGGTAAACAGATCACCCGGACAATACCCATTTGTAGTGTAAACGCTTGATGTTGCCCTTTAACTCAGCAGAAGTGTTTTGACAATTTCCGGTGTGGTCCTCTCCCCTCTGAATTTCAAGTGTGCTCTCTTGAAAGTGTCTGCATATCTTCCAATTTGACCGTTTGTTTGTGGATGGAGTGGTGGCGATCGCAATCGTTGCATTCTGTTTTGTTGAAACAAAGCGGAGGATTCAGCAGACTTGAGTGCAATTATGTTTTCAGAGACATTAATATTCGGAACTCCGAAACGGCTAAACATATGCTGCAGTTTTGAAATAATAACACAAACAGTAACATGGTTCATGCTAAATACTTCTGGCATTGGTGTGCGGTGTGTCTCAGAAACGAGTATTGAAGATGCAAGCACAGTGACTGAGCTAAATGCTCCGTCAGTCTCCACTCGCTTCCGGCTGCGCACCTCTGGTGATCCAGAGGCTTCTGCGGCGGGGTGTGCAGGGGTTAGTATCATCCTAAGTCACCGGGCGGAAGTATCCTTACTTGACCGGATACTTGTTGAAAATCGCCTCTGTGCGGTTCGTCTGGCAACGTCTGTGAAGGAGTCTCACAAGTGGCAATTTGGTAGGTATCTGTTTATCGTGTTCACCTACGCTCCAACCGACCGTAGTTCGTACGCCGTCAAAGACGGGTTTTACAACGCCCTAAATGCTCTGCTGCGGAGAGACATCGTGGTGGTTGCCGGAGATATGAATGCGCAAGTGGGCAGGCTTAGTGCATCTGGGGCTTAATTAGGAGGTCGACATGGACTGGACTCGGTACGTACGGACAATGGGGAACGATTGCTTCAGCTGTGCGCTGATCGCAGGGTGTTTTTGTGCAGTACTAACTTCCGAAATAGCCAAAGTCGTCTGGCCACTTAGTGTCTTCCATTGGAAGGCCGACCACAAACTCAAATCGAAGAGTTTTCAGCAACCTTGTGAGTGGTTTCTTTGATGAACTCGACCACATTGCCATCAGTTCGCGGATCAGTAACTGACTGCCGGTCGTTTTGGAACTGACTACGCGCTCATCCTTTATTATGTACTTTGCACCTACAAAGTGTAAGGTCATGCTCTTGGACGTGCAGTCACTGAACACGCCACTTACAATCCAGGGTGGGGTACTGGATGTTGTGGAGTGTGTTACGTATCTTGGAAGTCGTATTAGTGTTGATTATTGTGTGACAGATGAGGTGAACGCACCAATCTGCAAGGCTCGGGCCGCGTTTGCTAGTTTGAGACACCTATGGCGTCAGGATGGTTTATCTCTGAGTCTGAAGGGACGTGTGTATCAAGCTATAGTACGGGCTGTTTTGTTGTAAGGATGTCAGACGGCCTATTCGAGCAGCGGAACTGAGACGTCTTCAGGTGTTCGATAATCGTTGTCTCAGAACTATAGCTCGCATGGGTTGGCGTCAGCGAACCTGTAACGAGGCAGTTAGAAAGCGCGTTTTCGGTTGGTTGAAGAATGTGTCGAGCACCAGAAGCTGCGTTGGTTTGGACATGTGTTGCGTATGCCGAACCATCGTTTGCCGGAGAGAGCGCTGTTTTCCATGCCCAATTCAGAGTGATGTAAACAGAGAGGTGGCCAACTCTTGACTTGGCGGAGGAGTATGAAGGATATAACGAAATGGTTGGGT